CTGATAATATTCATCAAACTCTTGATGTCTTTATTATTATTATTATTATTATTATTATTATTATTATTATTATTATTATTATCATCATCATTATTATGTTCGTTCCTTCGTTCTTTCGATATTTAGTTTACACGTATGTTACGCTCTGAATGCTTCATAAATAATGGCCTATTCCGTTTTAATCTGAGGGAAAGGCAGAAAAGTCATTTCAGAGACGTTGTGATAGATAGATATCTATCTATCTATCACAACGTCTCTGAAATGATAGATAGATAGATAGATAGATAGATAGATAGATAGATAGATAGAACAGAGTAGGCGATAACACTCTTATGTGTTTAACGCCTGCTTCAGTGAAATGAAAAAAAAGATCTTAAATCTTTTCATTTGTATTATCTTACTTGTTTAAGTAATGACCAGCATTTATACGTACGGTTGTTATCCCAATATGTGGCTAAACTTGTTAATGTCCATTACTTAACGTTGCAATAGGTGGGGGGGATTTTCATGTAGTCGTAAAACTCGCACTGAGCTTATATGTTCATTAAATATTATGATAGAAAATTCAAATAGGAAAATCGTGAAATTTCCAACTGCAATACTAGTCATTATTATTATTATTATTGTTATTGTTATTTACTCTGTCAATAATTTTTTAAAATGCCTTCTTATTGACATGACAGTCGCTTCAAACTGTAACGTACCTTTGAAGATCTTCGAAAAATTATCAAAATACAAGGACCTTGAAATCGAAATCTCAGAAATGTGACACATGGAGACATCAACAATTCCAGTCCTCGGATTGATTGGAAAAGATTCCGCTAGACGAATTGAATGTATTCGCGGTGGCCCAAGCCTTAAAGAAATGCAAAAAGTCTACTCACACATACAGCCTACACCTTACGAAGTAGGGTTATCTATGCAAAATGTGAGTGATCTTGGGTTGTTTTTGCTGTTTTAAAAAATGCTCAGTGGAAAATGTCATGATGCCATTTCTGACCTTAGGTCTCTAGTTTGAACACAGAAAGAAATGAGTATACACCAGAAATCAAAGGAATAATAATAATAATAATAATAATAATAATAATAATAATACCTACTCTACATGGCTGATCTCAAACTCTTTGCCAAAGACGACAAATACTTCAGTGACGACATAGGTATGGACTTCGGATTAGATAAATGTGCAAAAGTAACATTCAAGAAAGGTAGAATTACAGAAACACCCTTAATAGATTTAGATTTTGTCACAAAGATTAGGGAACTGGAGCATGATGAAGCTCATAAGTACCTAGGAATTAGCGAAGGAGATGGCATACAACACCCCCAAATGAAGGAAAAAATAAGAAAAGAGTACTACAGGCGTGTACGTCTGGTACTAAATACTGAGCTAAACTCAAAAAACAGAATATCGTCCATAAACACATTGGCTGTCCCTGTGGTGCAATACAGCTTTAATGTCCTTAACTGGACCATAGCTGAAATTAAGCGAATGAACGCCAAAACGAGAAAGCTTCTCACTTGCTATCGCATGCATCATCCCAAAGCTGATGTTGATCGTCTGTATGTGTCCAGATCCGAAGGAGGCAGAGGATTAGTTCAACTAGAACTGTCCTACAAAACTACAACAATTGGCCTCCAAAGATACTTGGAAACTACAGAAGACTGGATGATGGTATGCGTCAAGGAACATGAAAGTAGTAAGTGTCTTTACTCCGTAATAAAAGAAGCCAACAAATTCAAAATGGAGTTTCAAATGGGCGTAGAGATGCAACTACAGCCCAATACACCGGCTGAAACTGCAAAATACTTAAAAAAGACAGCAAAGACGAATGCAACCGACCAGATACAGAAGCGATGGCAAGATAAACCGCTTCATGGCCAATACCCTGCCCGTACCAAACAAGATGACGTAGACAAAACCCGTACCCATCAGTGGCTACGTAGTGCAGGGTTGAAAGCTGAAACTGAAGGTTTTATCCTTGCTGCACAGGACCAATGCTTATTAACTAGGAATTATCAAGCACATATACTAAAATATTGTGCCAGCCCAAAATGCAGATTCTGTGATAAATATCCAGAAACGATTGATCATCTTGTATCAGGTTGCATATTGGCACCCACTGAATATAAAACCTGACATGACAGAGTGGGCCAATATCTGCACTGGAAAATCTGCAACTTCTACGGGAAGAAAACTGAAAGAAACTGGGATGAACACCAACCAGACCCGGTTACGGAGATAGGACCTGTTACAATTCTATGGGACTACACAATACACACTGACAGAACAATCAAAGCCAACCGCCCAGATATTGTTATTAAAGACCACCAACAAAAACGGTGCCTCCTTGTTGATATGGCAGACGCTGTGAAAAAAGATCAAGTTTCTACAGACAGATATTTCAAACTGATGCGAAGAAATTTTACAGAAAAATAGGCAAGCAAAAAATTGAAGTGACCCATCTCTCCCTAACAATAGAAGCGGTTATATAGTTCTGGGAAAAATATGGATGTGTCCTAAAGAACTTAAGAAAGAAGCAGATTTGATTAAGCAAGAGGTAGAACGGAAGAAAAATAAAAACAAACATGAGCGGAAATCACAGAAGAGGGTGTTGAATGTGCACTGCAAAAAGCGCACAATTGGAAATCTTCAGGAATAGTTACAATTCCTAACATTTGGCTATATTATCTAAATACAGCATACAAAAGGACTAACCAAAGAACTTCAAGAAATGGTCAATGATCCTACTAAAATTCCGTTATGGGTAACCAAAGGAATTACGTTATTTCTACCCAAGTGTGGTGACACAACTGTCCTAAAAAACTACAGACCAATTACACGTCTTCCTACTACTTACAAACTGTTGACATCTATTCTGAGAAAACAGACATATTCCTTCTTAGAAAAAATGATATACTACCTCTTGAAGAAAAAGGGTGCAAACATGGCTCTTACAGATGTAAAGACCTATTACTTATTAATATGATGATCGTGGAAAACTACTTCAATACAAAGAAAAATCTTAGTACTGCCTGTATAGATTACCATAAAGCATTCAGTAGTGTGCCCCATTTCTGGATCTTAAAGTCTTTAAATATATACGACGTATCACCCGCCCTCGTCAATTTCATCAAACAATGTAAGTCGATATGTAAAACAATGCGTCACCTGAATCATATAAATGGAATCTACAAGTCTGGTGAAATAAATATCAACAGAGGAATATTTCAAGGTGACTTTGTCGTCCTTACTATTTTGCATATCCCTAATAGCATTAACAAGCGAACTTGGAATATAAATGGAATAAAGCTATAAAATGTATCATTAGAAAATAAGTCATCTTTTTTATATGGAAGGCTTGAAGTTGTATACTAAGGACGACAGTGAGTTGTAAGGTCTAAAAGCAATAAAATGTTTCAGTGATGACATTGGAATGGAATTGCGTTTGGGTAAATGTGCTGAAGCCACAATTTTACGAGGATCACTACAACAAACCTCCTCTATTAACTGGGGTAACAATCAAAGATTTAGCGCAAGAAGAAGGTTATTAGTACCTCGGTGTAAATGAGGCTGAAGGAATTATGAAGATGGTTATAATAATAATTATTATTATTATTATTATTATTATTATCATGCGATTGCATTTTCACGTAACATGTCCTGCAGTTATCGTTGGAGACTGTATGGGAGAAGGTCACTGAGCATTTCTAGAACTGCGCATTTCTCTATGCTGAATACCACTCCTATGTCATTGCCGTATTTCTTAACTGTTTTAATGAAAGTTTCACCGAAGTTAAGCATCGTCTAGCCTGGTCAGTACCTAGATGGGTGATCGCTTGGTAATACCGTGTGCAGTAAGCTTGGTTGTCCGCTTGGTATAATTGATAATAGCTCGAAATGTTTAATCGGAGAGCTGAGTTCCACTTCCAATCGGGTTCGTTATATTCACTTATGCGCAAATACGCTTGGGGAAGGCATGAACCCATCTCTTTTCTCCCACCCCAGTTATGTGTTAATTAGTAAGACTTGTATTACTAAACAATTATTATCTCGAAAAAAAATCATTCGATATAAAAAAAATAATTCTGGCTTTAAATAACCTGCAAATGGTTGACAAGCAGTAGAAAAAATCAATCTTTACATTCGTCTGCATGCTACTGATCGCACTGTAGTTCCTTGGCTTCTTCTAATGTATTTTTGGATGTGAAGTATTCTGACTCTGGTCATCCCTTTTGGCCATTTTATTTCCTCAAGAAATTTTTAAGTTCTTGAAATTATTATATAGTTTAGAGAATTTCTAGAACCAATATCTATGGACTCCATCTGAAAATAGTGTGCTCCAGTTGGTTAATTTACATTTTTTTTAAAGAATTATGAATGAGTTTATTTCGATGCTTTCTCTTCGATTTCTTTAAAATCTTTACTTTTCAACAACTACTAAAGTGGTTTATTTTATTTCTTTTGGCTTCCCATATTCGTAGCATATGGTTTTATGCTGTCTGCTTTTTTCCTTTATGTTCTTGATTAATCTACCTTCAACGTTTTGAAACATGCCGTTTTGCATGTATTTTATAATCCTATGTCGTATCTATATATTTTTAGTCTTTTTGCGGGTATACACTTTTGATTAATTTTTTGTAAGTCCTATAACCTAGTTTGTTATTTCGATATTTGCATTTCTATTCTGATTTCCCAAGCTGGTTTGTTATTTTTGCTGTTCAGCGTTTTCTTAAATTTCGCCGTCACTATTCTTGCAACAGCGTAGATTGCGTCATTCAGCTCTGTGATGTTTTTAATTTTCATATGTTGTAGAAATTTCCTCTTCCTTTTACGTTCTGAGTTTACTTTTTTCTTTCTTGCTTAGTTTTTATAAAATATATTTGATCATCAGTTCTGCTTCTGTTACGGTGGTAGCTTTTACATCTTCTGTTGCTCTTGAATTTATATTAAGCAATCTTTTCATTGGTATATTTTTCCTTCGGATATTATTCCAATAATGCTGGCTGATTCTTCCATTAGTAAATCTCGTTCTTCATTTTCTATTTTCGTCAAGATTCACTGCAGCTTCCGATCCAATATTCAGTTTTCTTTCAATAGTTTTTAGCTCCTTTTGGCTTCTTGTTTACACTAGACTTCACCTCCGACCATTTTGCAACCATTCAGTACTTGTATCTTCTAATGAATGCTATTCTTTTCAAGTAACATGAAATCAATAAATTATTGTCCTCTTCCGTTTTTATCCACTAGCCAACATTCATTCGTTAATCACTGTATCATTCGTTCAGGCTATCAAACCGGAATTTCCGGAGAAAGACCGGGTCCTTACTGTTGGTCACCAGAGCAGCACCTGCCAGTTATAAAGCACGTTTTTATTAATAAGCATATTCCTCATGTTTATTGATCAGCATATTTGTGCTTGCCTTGAGAAATGGGGATTTAAGGTTACACAAAATCTAGTATGATGGATCGGCTTAACCTAATCATAATCCGAGAGTGCTATATTGGGCCTTATCACCAAGATTATCTAATATCGGTAATCTGAGTGGTAATAGTAGTGTGTGCAAAACTGTATGGAATTAAACAGGCATTCCAAGCACACATAGTTGTAGGTGCTAGAATATTAAGAATGGGTTTGGATATTTTAAGTTACAGTAAATAGTATGTTTAAACGAGGCATAAAATACAGTGTATGCAAAACAAAGCATTTGAACACTTATATTTCAGATTAATGTGGGGGTCTTCCAGTAATCTATCCTTGGACATATGTTGTTTCTTAGCTTCCTCAAGAACCTTCCTGATGTCATCAGTTTTCAATAGGTGTATATATGAAGATAATACAATTATATACTCCTGTCTTAATAGCAAGTCCGACAGAGATGACAGAATAAAACTGGTAACTACATTCGAAAAGGACGTTCAATCAGTAGTTCACTTGGGCAAAGAAAGGCTTGTAAATTTTAACGAGTCGAAATCAAAACTGCTTTCATTTAATCACCACAAAGAACCTTTTCTGTCTGCAATCACCGTTGGTGATGCTAAAAGTAAGGAGAGCAATCTCGGTGCCTTCTTGAGCTAAAGTTTTCCATTGACATGAAGGCGGGCGATTTTATTGAATCAATTTCTGGCTCTACTGCTAGAAAAGGTTTGTTCACTGTGTCGTGCCAGACAATTTTTCTCATCAGGATCCATTTTGCACTTTTATAAATCTACCATTCATATGTGCATTGAATATTGCTGCCATATCTGGTCTGGTGATCCTACTGTATATCTCGAAATTCTTTCAAAGTTCAAAGAATGTTCTGTAAATGTTATCAGTCCTGACATGGCATCTCGGCTTCATTCACTTTCCCAGCACCGTGACATGACTTCCCTGTGTCTTTTCTATAAATATGTCCATGGCAATTGTTCATGTGAGCTTTCTTCCTTGGTGCCTCGGTTATATGAATTTAAGCGTGTTACTAGATTGGCAACTAGGTCCCACCGTTTCTCTGTTGAACTAGTTACATGCAACTAACTGTTCTATTCTAATACTTTATTTTTCGCACTTTTCGCCTGTGGAATTACCTTCCGATTTCTGGTTTCCCAGTTACCTACAATTTTCAAAAATTAAAATGCAATGCCAATCGATATCTTATGCCTTCTTGAATTCTGTTCTTTTATTTTTTCCCTTTCTCCTAACTTCTCCCCACTAAAGTCTTTTCATTCTCTTTCACTCCCGGTAACCCCTTGCATCCTAGTGGCATTATCGCCTTGCTTGGGGTGAAATGATTAAAAGTAAACATTTAAAAAGATATAAGAAAGGAAAAGAATATAAGAATATGACCAATTCATTTCAAATATTCAATTTTACGTTGAAATGTTAAGCTTTATATAGAATTATATACAATTCTCCATTCGGAGTTTTTACCAGATGTTTGTTGTCCCTACTTATCTACATTTCATTGCCTATCTATTTCTTCTGATTTATCTATAATTTTTTATTTATGTTTCTCTTTCACTTATCTCATTTGTTTCTCATTTCTTTCCCTACGTCGCTTTTTCATGTTTTTTCTTTCTCAATATCTTTTTCTCCCCACTTCGTTGCCTGTTGTTTTCTTCTTCTTTGTCTATCTCTTTTTCTTGTCTCTTCTTCCCAACCAGATTAGTTTTCTTCCCTCTTATTTTTTACCTTTTTCTTTCCTCTTCTTCTTTAATCTAACTTCCTTTCTTCGCTTTCTTTACCTATTTCTTCTTCTTCTTCTTCTTCTTCTTCTTCTTCGTTTTTTTCCTTTTATTTTTTATCTATGCCATCTTCTTCTGTCTTCTTTAGTTATCACCTTTAATTCTCTTTTCATCTTTCTCTTTCATTATTTCTTTTTCTTTCCATATCTTCTTTACTTCTCTCTTCTTTTTCACCTTCTCCTTTTCGCTCCTTTTTCACCTTCTTCCTGCTTCTTTCTCTATTTTTCTTTACTGTTCTTTCTCTTTCTGTTTTTCTTCCTTCTTCCTTCCCCTCGCTTTTTCTCTTTCACCTCTTTCCTTTTCCTTCCTATCTCTCTCTTTTCATCTTTGCCTTTCTCTCTCTCATTTCTTCCTCTTTTAGATTCTTACTTTTTCTTCCTTCACCTTTACTTCTCTCTTCACAGTCTATATTCTTCTTCCCCTCTCTCTACTTTCATTCTTCTTCTTTTGATCCCTTTGGTATTGTGCTAGTCACTTGCTTACACCTACAGCTGCTTAACGAATTCTACAAATATTTCAGCCATGACACTTCATTTTCCAGTATTTTCACAGAGAATTACATAAACAATTTACAGCAACATCAGTAGAGAATATTTCCTCTGGCTTTGTTTCTAAAGTCCAAATCTTTAGAAGTACCTAATAATAAAAGTATTTATAATCTTTCTATGCGTACTATTTTTCTTGACACAGTCTTGCATTCCTGATACTGATTTTGCTTAAGGAAAAACCTAACAAAAATTATATTTGTTTGTGCAAAATGCTATTTTAAATCTTTTGGTTGTTATAAAAAATACATTCTTATAAATATTTGTACATTTTTTGATGATATCCTTTCTCATCACTAAAGCTGAGTTGTTTCCACCATATTTTGACGCCTAAACATGACTTTTTGGGGAGTTTTGACGCTCGATCTAAACATTTCACGTTGTTACCGCTTACTAACGACTATAATTATAATTATACAAATCGTCACACATGACCTTACAACATTACAAATTTAACAAAGTCTCCAAAATGTAATAGATATGAAAGCAAGGAAGAATTTCTTTAACAAACGACAGTGATCCTTTCTAAAGAAGATAATTGATTGATTTGATTTGATTTTTTAACGATATATCAACACCTTATGGGTCATTTAATGTCGAAATTTATTGGAAATAATAAATATCTGATATTTTGCTTTTACAATTGAATACTCATTTTTTTGTGTATATACATGTTTTTGTGGACAGGATTACTAGAGGCGGTCATGTGTGTTTTGGGCTCCAGTTATATTTTGGAATACAGTTTGATTCAAGAATTTATAGGATCTTATATGGATTAATATCATGATAGTTATATCATGACATCAGTAGTTTAGTATTATTTTAACGGATTTAGGTAAAGTCACTACAATTTTTTACTATGAATATTGTTTGTATTTTTATATAATTGTAATATATATATATATATATATATATATATATATATATATATATATATATATATATATATATGTAGTTGTATATTTAGGCAGCAATCCTTCGTTTATGCATGTTTCATTAAAAACGACAGAAAAGGTACTACGGTTGAGCTTTTTATCTTTTTTTCTTGTGTTCTAACAAGAGCTTTCTTCTCTGGACAAAGAGTGTGTAAAAACTGTCCAAATGTTTTATATTTCCGAGCGCTTTCGGCTATACCTTTAGCCATTATCAAGGATGATTTGATTTTTCAGCTTAACTGAGTGTGTGCATTATGTGTATGTTTTAGTGTGTTGTAGGGATGTTTTAATTTCAGAATACGGTTAGTACATTGTGACCTTGTTCGTAGTTAATGTTAAGAGTTGGCTTTTTCTTTTTTATTATTAAAGTTTCCATAATAAAAAAAAGAAAAGGCCAACTCTTAACAACATTAACTTGTCTATCGTTTTTAATTATATATATATATATATATATATATATATAGATAGATAGATAGATAGATAGATAACTAGACTCGTTTCGAAAAACCCTCGAATTTTTGATTTGCTAATCAAATCAATCTCACACTGGAATCGGTGGAAATGACCAGGCAGATAAAGCAGCCAGGTCTACTCTAAATATGACCATAGAAAAAAATTTCAAAATACCATATACAGACCTTAAAATGAAGATAAATAAATACATACTGCAACAAAGACAACAACGCTGGAACAGCAATAGTAATAATAAATTACTAAAAATTAAACCTGAATTGCGAGAATGGAAACAGAGCTATAGGAAAAATAGAAAAGAGGAAGTGATATTGTCCAGACTTCGTATAGGCCATACAAGGACAACACATTCCTACTTACTTGAAGCAAAGCAACAACCAATGTGTTATGCATGCCAGACCGCATACACAGTGAAACACATTCTCATTGAATGTACTGACCTAGCCCATATAAGAGAAACGCTTTATAGTGCAAGTAACATGAAGGAACTGTTCCAAAAACTGACATGGATAACATAATATCGTTCCTGAAATCAGTCAATTTGTACCAAAAAAATCTAAAAACATAAAAAAGTTGGGAGTTTTCTGCAAACTTTTGCTGCAAGGAATGTTTTCAACAAAATCTGATTCTTTCTGCATACCATTTCTCAAAAAGGAAGAAACTTCCTACGATACAATTCTCTACAAAAAATTTTTTTTGACAGAACCAGATTTTTTTCTACAAACCATTTCATTTCTAAAACCTTTTTCAGCATGGCAAACCTCTCCGTTTGTGGAAATGGAAGGGACTATTATATTGGAAAATAATATTCCAATAATAACCTGATTTGACATTAAATGACTGAGGAGGTCGATATGTCGTAAAACACAAACAAACAAACAAACAAACATCAAATCAATCTCGAGGGAAAAAAGTTTTTAAAAAAGAAAGAGCAAGAAACATGAACTTCTGTCGACAAAAAATCGCACAGATGCAGGTCTGAAGCCCAAAGAAAAAACCCCGATACGAGTAAACAACTAACTAACAAAAGAGCTCAATACAACCGTAGAGCAGACCTAGATACACCGAGTTTGGCCAAACTTTCCCTGACGATCCGTTTAGGTGAAACCTAGGTAGTTTTGTCTGGCTCACTGGGTGTATATATATATATATATATATATATATATATATATATATATATATATATATATATATATATATTGCTTGTAGTTTTACTATAAGAATGTATTTTATACTTTCATTGTGTTTTGATTGGGGATTCGCTATTTACACCCCCATAGCTGGGACTCTAACAGGCGCTACCATACCGGATTAGGGTGGACCTGGGAAGAATAGCAAAATAGATCAGAAGACTTGCTGCTGGATGTAGTTTATACTGGGTGATGCAAAAGTCGCGCACCATAAGGTTTTTATTAATTAATCATGTTTTAAACGTCTAATTTGTTTTAATAGGTTATGTTGCGTGGCCACCAAGGTCACCAGACCTCACACTCTTAGAGTTCTTTCTGTGGGGCCCACTTGAAATCAGTTGTTTATCAGACGCGCCTAATAAATATTGAAGAACTTAAAGAAAGGATTAAATATGAATGCAGTAAAATGACAGAGGGAACTCTCCAACATGTTAATGAATCATACAAGTACAGAATTGAAATGTTTTTGAAAAAAATAGGACATTTTGAAGAACACATATAACAATGAAATAACTAGTAAATAAAAATTTAATGTGTAATTATACTTTAATCATTTATCCCTATGATGCGCAACTTTTACCTCACCCTGTATGTTTCTGAAAACTACAGATAAAAAATGGAGGACATTTTGAACAGTACATATAACAATTAAATGGCTCGTACATAAAATGTTCATGTGCAATTATACTTTTAATAAATTATCGCGATATTTACCATCCCCTATATATATATATATATATATATATATATATATATATATATATATATATATATATATATATTAGGCAAAAGTCGCGCACCGTAGGGCTAAATAATTAATCATGTTTTGGATTTTTTTTTTTTTCTGGGGCCTTTTGAAATTAATTGTTTATCAGACGTGCCCAAGAAATATTGAAGAAGTTAAAGAAAGGAATAAATATGACTGCTGTAAAATGACAGAGGAAACTCTCCGATGTGTTAATCAACCATACAAGCACAGAATTGAAATGTGTTTTGAAAAAATAGAAGGACATTTTGAACTACACATATAACAATGAAATAACTAGTAAATAAAAAGTTAATGTGTAATTATACTTTAATAAATTATCCCTATGATGCGCAACTTTTACCTCACCCTGTATGTTTCTAAAAACTACAGATAACCACAATAAGCACCATAACACCGCGGAGAAAGAACAGCTGTAGTTTGACGCTACCGCAATGTTATCTATTGCACAACTGCCGAATGTCTGTCAAACTTCTTTAAAAAGAAAAAAACAATATCGACATGAAATCTGTCAAGTTTGCTTCTAGGAAACTTGGTTCATTGTGTCGTGCTAGACAATCTTTTTCTCCAGAATCTATCTTGACTATTTATAAGTCTGCCATTCGTCTGTGCATTAAATATTGTTGCCACATCTAGCTTTCTGTTACTGCTATGTATCTAGAGATTCTTGACAAAATCTCAAAAAAAAAATTTGCAATATTATCAGTCTTGACCTGATATCTCGAATTCAAATTCGAATTTCTCAGCGCCTTAACGTAACTTCCTTATGTTTTATTTTTCTATAAATATTTTCACGGTGATTGTTCTGGTGAGCTTTTTTCATGAATTTAAGTTGTAGTACTAGATTGGCAGTTAGGTCTCGTCATTTTAATCTTGAGAATGCTAAGTGTAACTGTAAGTTATATTGTTATAGTTTCTTCTCTAACACTTCTCGCCTGAGGAAATCACTTCCGGCTTCTTGCTTTCCTGCTAACTATGATCTTCAAAAATTTAAATACAACTTTAATCGTCATCATCTTTGAATTCTGTTCTTTTACTCTCCTTTCTACTCAAAAGCATTTTTTTTTTCAGTTTCTTTCGCCCTCATTAACAATTTATATCTTAGTGGCTTCGTTGCCTTGCTTGGAGTGAAACGATTAAAAGAAAAAAAATTATGTTCATATCTCTGAATGCTTTGACCTTTAGTAATTAATGGAGTTCCTGTAAAAGTATTATTACCAAAAACACTAATTATATTTCTAAAAAATGGTTAGGAATTAGCTGTAATTCCTACAGTTAAGTGAGTTACCAGACGACCAAAATGGTAGAAGTCTGTAAAGAGAACCGAACACTCTACAGGCAGTGTTCGGTGGTACTAGCTACTACTCAAATGTCATAAAATATGCGAATATCTATTTAGAACGTTCGCGCAAAACAATAATTGATTACAAAGATATAAAAACATTTTCTCACGTTTTTATCATTAATAAAATGAATTTCATTATATTAATTAATTTTCTCTGCCTCTTCGTTTGCACTACGTCAAAAAAAATCTTAGAAGTGTCTGTGAGAGTTGACTCACCCT